CTAGATCCATATCTTTTACTCTGTGCAAACTCAACTCCAAATGGATCAGGAACTTCAACATAAGACCTGATACCCTGAATCTGATAGAGGAGAAAGTAGGGAATACACTTCAATTTATAGGTACAGGAACGGACTTTCTGAACAGGATTCCTACAGCATAAGCATTAAGTCTAATAACTGACAAACAGGACCTCATGAAACCAGAAAGCTTCTGTACAGCAAAGGACACTATCATTCAAGTGAAGAGGCAGCCTACAGAATGGGAAAAAAATTATTTACCAGCTATACCTCTGGGGTATATATCTAGAATATATAAAAAACTAAACATCAAACAACCTAATTAAAACTTGAGGCAAGAATTAAACAGAGTTCTCAAAAGATGAAATGTAAATGGCTGAGAAAAATTTTTTTTAATGTTCAACATTTTTAGCCATCAGGGAAATGCAAAATAAAACCAGGTTGAGATTTCATTTAATCCCAGTCATAATGGCTAAGATCCAAAAAAACAAATGATGATAAATGCTGCTGAAGCTGTGGGAAAGGGGAACTCTCATTTACCGCTGGTCGGAGGACAAACTGCTATACTCACTATGGAAATCAATGTGGAGATTCCTCAAAAAACTAAAAACAGATCTACCACATGATCCAGCCATACCACCCTTGGGCATTATTCCCAAAGGATTCTATATCCTACTACAGAGATACCTGCTCATCCATGTTCACTGCTGCTCTATATACAAGAGCTAGGAAACGGAAACAACCTGTTCATCCACTGATAAACAGAAAGTGAAAAAAAATGACACATTTACATGATACAATCTTAACCCCGACCCAGAAAGATAACCAGCAGGTGTTCGTGTTCTCTCTGATAAGTGGCTGATAACTTTGAACCCTTAGGTATGTATGTTTTCAAATGGAAAATCCAAAGAGTTCAGGAAACTGGTAATGAGACGGGAAGGGGGGAGGGTCGTGGGGGTTGGATTCCTGGGAAGGGAGACAGAAAGCAGTGATACAAACGGGAAAAATGGAGTAGAAAGGGTTAAATGGAGTTGGGGATGGGAGGGCAGGGCAAGGAGGGACTATGGGGAGGCATAAATAGCACTAAAGTCCTTTTCAAAGAGTCAGATGGAGCCGGGAGTGGTGATATGTGCCTTTAATGCTAGCACTTGGGAGGCAAAGGCAGGCAAATCTGAGTTTGAGGCTAGCCTGATCTACACAGCAACTTACAGGCCAGCTGGGGCTACAGGGAGACCCTGTCTCAGAAAGAGTCAGAAGGGAACCACCACAATAAAAGCTTCTTAAAGTATATACATACACAATATAAAAAGAGATTAAATGCAGTTACCCTATAATACGGGTACATTGCCCCTACCAAGTACCAAAGGCTAGCAAATAAAAAACCCAATGCCAGGCATGGACTTGGCTCTTTTTTTCAATATGTATGAGTGTATTGCCTGTATGTATGTAAATGCACCCGTGTTGTGCAATGCCCATGGAAGTCAGACTAAGGCATTAGATTCTCCTGGAACTGGAGTTATAGATGGTTGTTAGCTGGCATGTGGGTGCTGGTAATTGAAACCCAGTACTCTGCAAGAGCAACCAGTGCTCCTAACCACTGAGCTATCTCTCCAGTCCCACAGACTCCCTCTTCTGAAGCTGTTGACCAGAGGTCTTATAAATCCTCAAACACTCGTGGCCATGGCCCCTGCTCTTGGTTACCCATACACCAGAACTTGACACTAAGACCCTATTGTTAAAGACACCACATACACAAGTTGTAGGCCCAAACACAAAGAGAAATCAAGCTGGTACTGACCTCTACTGGCTAGCTTTCATACTGATAGAAAGTGCTATGCACGCTACTGAAGAAAAAAGTAATCATCAACCTTACCCAGGTTTGAATCCTGTGAGCTACATGAACAACTGGCCTGGCAAAATATGCCCACTGGTAGCATGAATGCTATATAAATAACCAACCATTTTTTGGTTGGATTTAAGGTCCGCTTCACAAGTTAGAGCTCAGAGCCCATACCTGACACTGTTATCAGGCCTAGAAACCTGTGGTTAGACAGTCACTGCCGTAAGGGAGAGCCTACTATTCTGCTAAAGAGACACATTGTTTAAATGACTCCTAGTAACTTACTGTTATACTCATATACTAATGCATCTCTGAACTTTCACCAGAGAAGCTGCCCTGCCTGTGCAGCCGACAGTGATTAACACAGAGATACACAACTAATCAATATGCAGAGAATACGAGACTGCAGATTGTTTAGCCCTGAATAGGACACCTATATCAAACCCCTGCTTCCCAAATTTCCAGAATCATTGTGGAAGAGGACTGGAAAGATTCTATAAGCCAGAGGTAGGGGATGACCACAATGATACTGTTTTCTACACAGCTGGGCAGTTACTCATATGAACTCACAACAATGGTAAGAGCATGCAAAAGTTCAAGCCAGACAAATTCACTGCACAGAGCTGTGGAAGTGGGGAAGAAGCCCCAGTCCGAGCTCAGAACTATTCATAATTGACAGCTGCTGGGAGAGGGAGAGCCAAGTTTCTCTAAGGGTATGATGCTGGGAAGGTTGACCAGGCTTCAGTTGGCATTTGGAGGCACGAATTAGTTAGATAGTCCTTAAAAAAAAAGTATATATGTAAGAAAACACAAAAAATTGGGTGGGGGGTAATAAGGGGAGATAGCGACTAGAAATGGGGGGGTCTGTATGTAATTCTCAAAAATAGAAATAATTTTTTTAATTGAGTGTAAGAAAACCCAGAAACTAAGTAGGCTTCAGTTGGCATTTGGAGGCATGAATTAGATAGTCCTTAAAAAAAAAGTATATATGTAAGAAAACACAAAAAATTGGGTGGGGGGTAATAAGGGGAGATAGCGACTAGAAATGGGGGGGTCTGTATGTAATTCTCAAAAATAGAAATAATTTTTTTAATTGAGTGTAAGAAAAACCAGAAACTAAGTATATTTAAGGATTACTAATAGAAAAAGGCAGTTACAACATTTAAACACATCAAGTCATTTTTAAGACTCTTCCAAAACAGTGAATTAGTCAACCAACCTGTGGCACATTAGTGCCAGGCTTGGGTATGTTCCTGCAATGATAGCACCCAAGAGGCTGGAGCAGGGGCATTAAGAGCTTGAGGCTAGGGCTGAGGACACATGTTTACTTATAGAGCACTCACCTAGCAGGTGGCACAAGGCCTTAGGTTTGATCACCAGTACAGAGAAGTATACTACAAAATGCTACTTAGCCATTTAAATACTGTGGAGAGTATTTTAATGAAACATGACAAGGGAAAGCACAGTCATTTATATGTTGATTCCCTTGGGCATAAAGATATGTACCATTGTGGACTAAGAGTGACTTTGTTTCTTCATTAGTCTTCTCTATGATATATATGAAATGTTATAGTCAGAGAAACATGACTTAAATCACAGTCTCATGCTTTCTTACCTGAAGGTACTAGAGAATCGTGCTCAATAATCCTTGCAGAAGCCAGATCACTAATAATATACTGCAGCCTTAAATGTCTGAATACAGACACAAATGGTTTTCCTTGTTCAGTTTCACGGAAGGTCGTCCCTTCAAAATCCATTAAAGAAAGTTTAAATTAGACAACATTCTTGTTAACTGTGCTGTTTTATTCCTGAATGTTTTTATGGGCAAGGACACACAGAGTCTGTTAGAATGCAAATAAGCTACTTTCAAGGATTTCAATAATTTTATGAGGGAAACAGAGAAACTTTGAAAAATCTCCCAAATTGATTTTGGTCCTAATCGGATGCTTGGGCTGGGAACTCACCTTTTCTGGGCAGTGGCCTTATAGTATATCAAGGTAGGAGAGGTGTTATTGGAAAGTAATTAGGGTGACACTTGTCTCTGGAGAATCCATTCCCAAGGCCAACATGCCAGAGAACCTGGAGGCCAAACAGTTCACATGAGGGTCCTCACATTAATGACCAGGACAGGGACGGCTCTCCAGTTTTCCTACTTACACCAGTGGTGAACATTAGTTAACATATGCTCTATTAAAATACCAAATAAAATATTATTGTAGATTTGCAACCCATGAGCATTATTAATTGCTAAAATAAATTCAAACTTATAAAGCATATTTTTTTCTCTTAGGGAAAATTTAGTATTTCTAAACATTACTTACTTGCATTCCAAAGTACTCTTGTGACTGGGAAGGAAACACCTAGGGTTACTGTTATCAACAGGAACTTGTGCATAAGCTTTAGTACCTTTCTTGTTAAACAAGGCTTACCTACTGGGATGTGTTCAGCCTACTGCTACTAAGGAGAGATGAGAGGTGCCATTACACAGGTTCTGCATCTCAAACCCAACTAGACAGGTGTTCTCCACTAAATTACTTTCCTGAAAATTGCAAAAACACAACTAATGAAAATAATTTTCACTTATTTTTTTCTTGAGACAGGCTTTTGCTATGTAGCCCAGGGAACTCTAGGTCCTCCTGCCTCAGTCTCCAGACTGCTTGGATTAGAGGCCTATGCCACCACACCCACCTCTCAAATGTCTATCTCATACATTCTTTTGTATTCCGATGCTGTACTTGCAAGAATCAAGCACAGCAAATAAGAAAGTAGTTCACTCACTGGAAAGCTAATACTTACCTCTGCTTATGCGCAGACAGGAGGCACGTGTCTAAGGCTGCACCTCTTGCCTTCCTTACTCTAACAGTTCTAGCTCATGTGGCAAACTGAATGTGCAATTGTATTCCCACATGCACTCTACTACATGAGCAAGTTGCAGAAATGTAACTCTAAACTGTCTCACAGGCATCTAATCATTTTCCCACACAGCCTTTTCGTTAGGGTGGGTAAAGAGGTTGAGCCATTTACTTTTGTGAAATTCAAAATTCATGTTTTAAAATTTCTTGCTGCTTGAGCATGTTTATACCAACTTCATTATTAGAGTCAGCTGCAGTCACTGGTATACCTGCATAGTTTTCTAAGCTTCTACTGTTTCTTTTATCCTAATCCATACGTATATGAAAAGTCAAATTAAAAAACTTACGAGATACACCGATATATATATAATGTGTCAGGCGATTACAGTAAATTGTTCTATTTTCTTTTCTTTTCTTCATCTTTTTGAGACAGGGTCTCCCTACAGCCCTGGCTGGCCTGGAACTCAGATCCTCCTGCCTCTGCCTCCCTGAGTGCTGCTGGGATTAAAGGCATGTGCCACCACACCAGGCTTAACTTTTCCTGTTTTCTAAATGCACATTAATTCTGCAATTTCAAAACTGTTTAGAATGAACCTATAAAATCTTCATAGAAAAACAAGAGCTTAGATGTACCATTTGATTTTGAGTAAAGGCATCTTCAGCAATTAACTGTTAGAGGGGTCAGGGCAAGACTGCAGGGTGGGAGGTAGAGTGGCCATGGCTTCTACTCGCTGCTGCTGCTGCTGCTGCAGTGGACCCACTTGCAGACCACCACAGAGGGGCATGGCAACACCCAGCCCATAGTTTTCACTGAGCCTTTTTCACTTCTTTGGTTTTTTGTTTGTTTGGTTAGTTGGTTCTTTTTGAGACAGTGTCTTTCATATGCCACGCCTGGCTTCAATTTTCTTAGGTAGCCAAGGATGACTTGGAACTTCTGATTCTCCTTGCTTCACCTTCGCTGATTAGGGATCTAGGATTAGGCATTCACCACCAGGACTGGCTTATGTAATGTTGGAGATGAAATTCAGGGCTTCCTGCACTGTGGGTAAGAGCTCTACCAACTAAGCTACACCCTCAGCCCCTTTTTAAATGTCCTCACACTCCTTACTCAGATTTGTTATCTCCCTGTTTATTTTATTTATTTAAATTCCCTCTTCATAATTCTAATACTTTAACTGCTATAACAAAGTCAAACAATTATAAATAGTATTCTGTTCTTTTCTAAAAAATATTTTATTTTACGTTTATGAGTGTATTGGCCTGCATGTGTGTCACCCATGTTGCGAAATGCCTGCGGAGGTCAGAAGGCGGCATTGGAACCCCTTGTACCTGGAGTTACGGACAGTTGTTAGCCACCATGTGAGTGCTGGGATTCTAACCTGGGTCCTCTGTAAGAGCAGTTAGTGTTCTTAGTCACCGAGCCATCTCCTTGGCCCAAGTATTCTGTTCTAAATGAGATCACATCAGATTTTACTTGTATGGCCTTTTACATAGTATTTCCAATTCAAGAGCTTAAACAGAAAAACAATTTATCTGGCACTGAGCTAGGATACTTAGCTATATAAAATAAATGTTTGTTTCTTGAGACAAGGTCTCAAGCAGATCAGGATGACCATGAACTCGCTATGTAGCAGAGGCTGAACTCTTGATCCTTTTGCCTCCACTGTTCAAGTGCTGGGATTATAGATGAGCACCAACTACCATTCTTGGCTTATATAAAATAATTCTATAACGTTTTTTAAAATCAAGACACAGAAAGCACTGAATTTTAAAAGAACTTCTAGTCACCAAAAGGCATCAAGATAAAAGGATAAATCACAAATCAGATGATATGATGGTTAGTTTTCATTGACAATTTGACTCTATCTAGAATCACCTGTGGAGTCTCAATGAGGGACTATCTAGATTAGGTTGACCTGTTGGCACGCTTGTGGGGAACTGTCTTGATTATGTTAACTGATATGGGAACACCTAGGTAAATAGTAGGCATTACCATTCCCGGAGTTTGGATTACAAAAATGGAGACAGTCAGCAGTCAGCTGAGTACTGACAAGCATGCATGTGTCTATTCTCTCTGCTCTTTACTAGATGTGATGTGACCAGCTGTATTAGTTCCTGCTGCCTATGACTTCCTTGCTATGATGAACTGTAACCTGGAACTGTGAGATAAAATAAACCCTTTCTCCCCTAGATTGTTTATGTTAGGTATTTTGTCACAGCAACTGGAGGGAAACTAGGACAAATGATAAGGGCAAAGCATCTGTGACAAAGCCTGGTAATCACAAATAAGCAAAGAAGCTGAAAGGCTAATGTGATGATAAAATGAGGAAAAGACACTCAAACATACGTTCCGAAGAGGAGATGTGACCAGTAATCCAAAGAGTCATTTAATCTCTTTCATTATCAAGGAAGTGAAGCCCAATGGCGCACGGTATGGTGGCGGCCTCAGGGGCCCCACAGGGCCTTTTCCCTTTGTACTCTGGGGTGTCACACTTTGGTAGCTTGAAATCAGCCACACTGAGCAAAACCATACCATGAAAAACGCTACAAACTAGGACTAGTTTTCAGTCACTACAGTATGTACACTAAGACACATATGCACACCAGAACATGGTTGCTCACTCTGTATTCCAGTAACATAGAAGGGTGAGGCAGATGGAAAGCAAAGAAAACAAAAAAGGTATACATGCACAATCTGATATTATTTTTGGTTAAAGCAAAAAGTAATAAGGGGCTAGAAAGATGGTTCAGCAGTTACGAGCACTGATTGGTCTTGTAGATGTGGGTTCAGTTCTCAGCATCCACGTGGAGGCTAACAACCACCTATAATTTCAGTGCCAGGGGATCCAATGCCCTCTGTGGCCTCCATAGGTACTGCACACATGTGGTGCAGACACATATGTGGTGCAAACTC